GAAGACAGAGAGACCACCACAAGGAAGACGAGAGAGTCACCACAAGGAAGACGAGAGAGTCACCACAAGGAAGACGAGAGAGCCACCACAAGGAAGACGAGAGAGTCACCACAAGGAAGACGAGAGGAGCCACCACAAGGAGAGACGAGAGAGTCACCACAAGGAGAGACGAGAGAGTCACCACAAGGAAGACGAGAGAGTCACCACAATGAAGAGAGAGTCACCACAAGGAAGACGAGAGAGTCACCACAAGGAAGACAGAGAGAGCCACCACAAGGGAAGACGAGAGAGTCACCACAAGGAAGATGGGGAGAGTCACCACAAGGAAGACGAGAGAATCACCACAAGGAAGACGAGAGAGCCACCACAAGGAAGACGAGAGAGTCACCACAAGGAAGACGAGAGAGTCACCACAAGGAAGACAGAGAGAGCCACCAGGAGGAAGAGAGAGTCACCACAAGGAAGACGAGAGAGCCACCACAAGGAAGACGAGAGAGTCACCACAAGGAAGACGAGAGAGTCACCACAAGGAAGACGAGAGAGTCACCACAATGAAGAGAGAGTCAACACAAGGAAGACGAGAGAGTCACCACAAGGAAGACGAGAGAGCCACCACAAGGAAGACGAGAGAGTCACCACAAGGAAGATGGGAGAGTCACCACAAGGAAGACGAGAGAATCACCACAAAGGAAGACGAGAGAGTCACCACAAAGAAGACGAGAGAGTCACCACAAGGAGAGAGAGAGTCACCATGTGGTGAGTCATCACAATGAAGACAGAGAGAGTCACCACAAAGGAAGATGGGAGAGCCACCACACTGAAGACAGAGAGAGTCACCACAAGGAAGAGAGAGGGAGAGCCACCACAAGGAAGATGAGAGAGTCACCACAATGAGAGAGAGAGTCAACACAATTAAGACAGAGAGAGTCACCACAATGAGAGACAGAGAGAGTCACAAACAAGGAAGACAGGAGGAGAGTCACGACAAGGAGAGACGGGAGAGTCACCACAAGGGAAGTCGAGAGAGAGTCACCACAATGAAAGAGAGAGTCAACACAAGGAGAGACGAGAGAGAGTCAACACAAGGAGAGACGAGAGAGTCACCACAATGAAGGCGAGAGAGTCACCACATGGAAGAAGGGAGAGTCACAACAAGGAAGGAGAGAGAGAGAGAGAGTCACCCACAAGGAGAGACAGAGAGAGTCACCACAAGGAAGATGGGAGAGCCACCACAAGGAGAGAGAGAGAGTCACCACAAGGAAGACAGAGAGGAGCCACCACAAGGAAGACGAGAGAGTCACCACAAGGAAGATGGGAGAGTCACCACAAGGAGAGACGAGAGGAGTCACCACAAGGAAGACAGAGAGAGCCACCACAAAGGAAGACAGAGAGAGTCACCACAAGGAAGACGAGAGAGTCACCACAAGGAAGACAGAGAGAGCCACCACAAAGGAGAGACGAGAGAGTCACCACAAGGAGAGACAGAGAGGAGAGCCACCACAATGAGAGACAGAGAGAGTCACCACAAGGAGAGACGAGAGAGTCACCACAAAGGAGAGACGAGAGAGTCACCACAATGAAGAGAGAGTCAACACAAGGAGAGAGAGAGAGAGTCACCACAAGGAGAGACGAGAGGAGTTACACACAATGAAGGCAGGAGAGTCACCACAAGGAAGATGGGAGAGCCACCACAAGGGAGACGAGAGAGTCACCACAATGAAGCAGCAGAGAGGAGTCACCATGTGGTGAGTCACCACCCAACGAAGACGAGAGTCACCACAATGAGAGACAGAGAGTCACCACATGGAAGAAGGGAGAGTCACAACAAGGGAGACAGAGAGAGAGTCACCACAAGAGAGAGGAGAGAGTCACCACAAGGAAGATGGGAGAGCCACCACAAGGGAAGACGAGAGAGTCACCACAAAGGAGAGACGAGGAGAGCCACCACAAGGAGAGACAGAGAGAGTCACCACAAGGAGAGACAGGGGAGAGCCACCACAAGGGAGAGACGAGAGAGTCACCACAAGGAGAGACAGAGGGAGCCACCACAAGGAGAGACAGAGAGAGTCACCACAAGGAGAGACAGAGAGAGTCACCACAAGGAGAGACAGAGAGAGTCACCACAATGAAGAGAGAGTCAACACAAGGAGAGACAGAGAGAGTCACCACAAGGAAGACGAGAGAGTCACCACAAGGAAGACGAGAGAGTCACCACAAGGAAGATGGGAGAGTCACCACAAGGAAGACAGAGAATCACCACAAGGAAGACGAGAGAGCCACCACAAGGAGAGACAGAGAGAGTCACCACAAGGAAGACGAGAGAGTCACCACAAAGGAAGACGAGAGAGCCACCACAAGGGAGACGAGAGAGTCACCACAAGGAAGACGAGAGAGCCACCACAAGGAAGACGAGAGAGTCACCACAAGGAGAGACGAGAGAGTCACCACAAGGAAGACAGAGAGAGTCACCACAATGAAGAGAGAGTCAACACAAGGAAGACAGAGAGAGTCACCACAAGGAAGAGAGAGAGAGCCACCACAAGGAAGACGAGAGAGTCACCACAAGGAAGATGGGAGAGTCACCACAAGGAAGACGAGAGAATCACCACAAGGAAGACGAGAGAGCCACCACAAGGAAGACAGAGAGAGAGTCACCACAAGGAAGACGAGAGAGTCACCACAAGGAAGACGAGAGAGCCACCACAAGGAAGACAGAGAGAGTCACCACAAGGAAGATGAGAGAGCCACCACAAGGAAGACGAGAGAGTCACCACAAGGAAGACGAGAGAGTCACCACAAGGAAGACGAGAGAGTCACCACAATGAAGAGAGAGTCAACACAAGGAAGACGAGAGAGTCACCACAAGGAAGACGAGAGAGCCACCACAAGGAAGACGAGAGAGTCACCACAAGGAGAGATGGGAGAGTCACCACAAGGAAGACGAGAGAATCACCACAAGGAAGACGAGAGAGCCACCACAAGGAAGACGAGAGAGTCACCACAAGGAAGACGAGAGAGTCACCACAAGGAAGACGAGAGAGCCACCACAAGGAAGACGAGAGAGTCACCACAATGAAGAGAGAGTCAACACAAGGAAGACGAGAGAGTCACCACAAGGAAGATGGGAGAGTCACCACAAGGAAGACGAGAGAATCACCACAAGGAAGACGAGAGAGCCACCACAAGGAAGACGAGAGAGTCACCACAAGGAAGACGAGAGAGTCACCACAAGGAAGACGAGAGAGCCACCACAAGGAAGACGAGAGAGTCACCACAAGGAAGACGAGAGAGCCACCACAAGGAAGACGAGAGAGTCACCACAAGGAAGACGAGAGAGTCACCACAAGGAAGACGAGAGAGTCACCACAATGAAGAGAGAGTCAACACAAGGGAGACGAGAGAGTCACCACAAGGAAGATGGGAGAGTCACCACAAGGAAGACGAGAGAGTCACCACAAGGAAGACGGGAGAGTTACCACATGAACGATGGTTTCTTCAGCACATTAAATTCGAGTTGTTTACACAATGTGATGTTTGTGTGTTACCTGACTATCAATGATCTACTATCGTTGTTTGGATAGCTTTAACAAAGTACAATACAAATGTGCGTTTGTTTGGGACGGTGTCATAATTTCATGTCATTTCCATAATAAGGCATGATCGATAGCATGATCTACGTTTAACGCCGTCGGACGACGACGACAGTGACAAGTGAAGATCCGGGTTAGAATTGGTCTTCACCTACCCATGCTTGTCATAAGAGGCAACTGGTGGGGTAGAGTGGACTCGCTGACTCGGTTAATGCTTGTCATCCTATCTTAGTTGCGTAGACATATGCTCAAGATGTCAATCACTAGATTGTCTAGTCCAGTCTCGATTATTTACAGACTTACGTGACAGAGCTGGAATGTTTAATAGTGTGGCGTTATACACAAACGAACGACGACACTGATCTTGGTCACAAATTTTTAACACCTAATCGTCATTAGTGTCACTGGTTTAAGGCGAGATCCCCTCTGGAATGATCGATAGTTTTAACCTTGGTGATAGCGTGTGTTCCGTCATCATAAAAGACCTCTTGTTTTGACTTCCAAGACGACGTAAATAAATAGAAAGTGTTCAGAACAACTGTCTGTTGTTAACTCATTGTTACCCGATCCATTATTTCTCATTAACGGGCAGTAAGTTATGAGTTATTCATGCCTTCATTTAGTATCTACATACCATGACCAATACCATGACAGCATCGGCAATGAAGGTTGGGAGTCCAACTCTCCATTCTGTATTTTGTGCAGCATGTTGATATTTCGTTTTTTCTTTAGTATAAAGCTCTATAAACACTATAATATGTATTAGATATTTTCTCATCATTTTCAGGGAGTTGATGGTTTCCTACTGAAGGGAATCTTGATTTCTCAAAATTATGTTTCCTTTTTCAAACAGTCTTAGGATTTAATTAAAACCAACATTATCATGTTTAGTTAAAGGCGTGATCTTCAGCAAAACGTTTAATATTATAATAAACAGTCACCAACTAGAAACCTGTGTTACATTTTGCTGATGTGATAGTTACACAATTGATCACCACAGCTGTAGTGCCTGTGTGTTAGCTTTGACGGATATATATTTAGTGAAGGTTTCAAGACACCCACGGTTTACTGTGAAATGAGTCACATAATAGTCAACAACAATGTATTTGCACTTTATCATGATTATATTTCCAGCGTTTTGAGGAAAAGATTGTTGTTTAAAAACGCCATGTCCCTTACATCTTAGAACAACTGGAGCCGGGAGTATGTCAAACATTAATTATGTATATATGTATTGCTGTGTTAGTAACTTGTAACAGAACCAAAAATCAATGATGGGTGGTTACAGATGAGTTTTCTTACAGTTCAATGATCGATATTCAGCTGTCTTTTGTGAAAACGATTGGTTGATTCGGTGCGTGAGACCTACACTTCATTACCAAAGTCAGACCTACTATACAGTGTTCAGTTAGTTTCAGTACTCCAGTTGCGACACTCGGTGAAGTGATGTTCTTCCCCCAGGTCTTCAGTGTATTTGTTTTAGGTAATATTGTTTCATTCTAATTTTGATTTCTTGTATTTGTTCAGCTATGAAAATGTTACCAACTAAATTATATGTAAATAGAATTTGAAAACATAGTGTGGATTAATTTTAGAACGAATTTGTTAGAATTTACAACATCAATAGAAAGTCCTATTAGATGGAAATTCTGTATCAAATGAATGGTACAGAACTTCTGCTATTTACTCTGATCATTTGTTCACAAACTGTTTTAGCCGCGACTACGTGTATACCGTATTTTCTCTTATAAGCGTCGGCCCTCTAATAAGCTCCGGGTCTGGAAGTCTGTTGAAAAAATAAGTGCCTGGGCGCTTGTTCGTGAAAATATGGTAATCCTTATTTGTGTAATGAATTTGGTACAGGCGTATAATTCAATAGTGATAGTGCATTGTTTTTATAAGTTTCTATATTTGAATGTCCTGCTTCACTATTGCTTTATTTATTCAAGGACTTGTCTTGTATTGAGTGTCATGAATCAGTTTGGGTTTGCCACACGTTTTATATTGTACAACGGCGTCTGTATTGCTGTCTGTATTTGTGGATACGGTGGGGTAGCCTAGTGGGTACAGCTTTGCTCGTCACGCCGAAGACCCGGGTTCGATTCTCCACATGGATTTAATGTGTGAAGCCCATTTCTGGTGTCCCCCGCCGTGATATTGCTAGAATATTGCTAAAAGCGGTGTAAAAATATACTCACTCACTCTGAATTTGTGTTTTAATTTGAGCAGCTACAAATTGCACATTCTAGAACACGGGTAGCCCAGTCGTCTAGTGCATGGTAATTCCAGAACACTACAGTCAACTGATATCGGTTACGTCGTGGACTCTATCAACAACGAACAAAGGTTACGGTGTCTGTATGATAGGGTGAGATATAAGCCCGTAGCGAACATAACAACTGTCTTTCTCACATGTTTGAAAGGAAATCTTGAATGAAAGTACCCGTGAAATTTGACGAAATGTGATCCGGCTTAACATCTTCTGTTTCGCAGTTCCAACAGCTGTTGTTGGCCACGTTGCTGCGACATGTGACAGCTGCACGACGCAGTTTAACGCCGACTACACGACGCCCGGCGTTGCAGATATCAACAGATGCTCGTAAGTTACAGTAGATCATTTAGATATGACAAGAGCACATACGTTCGTCTTAAGTAGATCACTTTGATCTGAGAAGGGCACATGCGTTAGTCATAAGTCGAGCACTTAGATATGAGAAGGATGAGAAGCCACATACGTTGGTCGTGAGTAGGTCATTAAAGTTAAGAGTTAGCCAAATGTGTCGTGGGTGTGGCACGTAGGTTATGTGTCGGACACTTTAGATATGAATAGGGCATGTAAGTTAGTTATGACTGGACACGCACGTTATAAGTAAAGTACGTAAGATATGAGTAGGGCACACACATTTACGTATTAAGTTAGGAACGTAACTTTTGAGAGAGCCTACCATGAGCATGCCTATCACGAGACAGATGTACAGTTTGTGTGTACCAATGACATGAAAATACGACAACGTGCGTCTGGGTTTCAACAGAACCTGATACGTCATACGTTCCCACAACTGACATGTGATACACTTGGGTTGGTTGGGATTTACATGTACATATATACACACAGTCAGTCACTTTTCAACCATTGTACAGAGCGGTCAAGGTCATTCACTTTTCAACCATTGTACAGAGCGGCCAAGGCGTACGCTGTGTGTCTGGTTGGGGCCAGTGGAGCTGGTTGTACCTCCGTCATGTCGAAGGCTTCCACTGCTCTCCAGTCCGTGACTACCATCAACTCAATATCAGGAGTCAGCTGCGGTACGTTTTGTTTAGGTGTTGGTGTGACATGATTGAGGGTCATCGTGCCCCGATGGCGAGGATCAGTGTTCAGGCTATCAACCACTGGCTAGCCAGTACTCGATTATTCAAAGGATAGTGTCATGTAGCTTGACTACTTACTTCGTCGTGTTTGTGAGCATATTGTTCAAATTGTGTACGAGCGGACGATATAACAATTGGGCTACCCAACCACCCCTGTCAGAAATTAGTTTGACGACATGGTCGATATTCTGACGGTGGGCAACGTTCGATGACGCAGTCAGATAGATTAGTATTGCGATTACACGAATCGATAATCTTTGCACTCATGGGGTGGAGGTGACGTACGTATACGCGTATACGTTGCCCAGAAAACGTAAGAGAGAGTTATTAACGCCACTTTGAAGAGTAATATAACAGCACGGTGATTCATTTAAGAGAAGGGGGCATGTCTTGGACCAGTGGTTAAAGCGTTTGCTCATCGTGCCAAAGACCCAGGTTCAATTCCCTAGATGGGTTCAATGGGTCAAGCCTATTTCTGGTGTCCCCTGCTGTGACTTTGCTGGAATATTGCTAAAAGCGGCTTAGATGTTAACTCACGCACTCAAAACAGACCAAGGTGATGCGGGTATTAGGCTTCACGAAGGTGTAACTTACGAGCACGATTATTACGCTGACAAATCTTGAAACACAACCAGGACCCATGTGAGATTCAAACTGGTTTCTGGCATGCCTAAGGGTGTTTTAGATCTTTATCCAACAACACAATGATCGCGGATGTATTCATTTACAGCTCTGAGTGGGACCTGCCTTTGCGAAACCACACACTTGACCTTCAGCCCAGTTTCAACTTGCACGTAAGTAATTACATTAAATTAATTAATCAATAAATATTTCTTCTCGACGGTTGAACGTACTTTTCAACCACAATACGATCGCGAAACAAAGGCTTAATGGTGGATCTGGTCTGTGTCAGAAAACCCAGAGATAGATATTATGAGCACCAACTCTTTCTTAAGTCTATGCTAGAGGTGAGGTGAAATGGGGTTTAACGTCGCACTTTCGCTCATATGTATATGTGTGGATGCCTGTCCTAGCCCAGACTCAAGCTGGTTTTATAGTGCTAGCTCACTGAGATACCATGCCGCAGTGAAGCATGAATACCTCACTCAGACACATGATACTGACTCCGAGCCGACCAGTCCTTGTTGTACCCATTAATGCCGATTGCCAGGCAGGGACCAACAAGTACATGTGTATTGGCAAATAAATTGTATTGCAATATATTGCGATTCAGGTACCCGTATCGCGCTACGTATTGCGATATATTGGGAGCTTGAGTGTTTTACAGCAAGTGACACTAATTGTGCATGTCAATTCTATTTTATACATGATAAGTCCCTAAACATATATGTTATGGTTCTGATAACAGCAATCTCAAAATTAGAATTTTAATAGTCAGGGATTCTATTTTTGGTTTATACAATTTATTGTATGCCGTTTTGTAATTGAATAATGAAGGAAAACATTTATTGTGTATGAAAGTGTGTAGACTTTAATTTAAACCATAAAGATAATCACAAAAACTTCATATATGTTCTTTACCCAATATACCGGTTCTCAGAAAATATATTGCAATACGTATCGTTTGAAAGGCGTATTGCGATATACCGATAATACCGTGCAGTCCTACATAGGAGTAACGACCATCTTAACGCTAAGACCGCTTTGTGCAATTGGGCCCTGTTCTGTCGCCTCGAAACATTAGAGTGCTGGAAACCGATTCTAACCCGTGTTTCCACCGGGTTATAACACGTGTACGTAGCTGAACCCTCTGTACAAGGTTGAACTGAAGAGCTATTGTTTATTTATGGGAATTATCTTGAAATAGGTACGAATATCGATTTTATACTATTTCTCCTTTATTTCCCCTTTTGTTGAATATAGGTGTTGTGCACGGGGAAATGATTATTACTACCTATGTTCAGAATGCTGTTTTGTAAGTAATCCATGCATAATAAGGAATAATAATGATAACAATGGACATTTATAAAGCGCCTGTTGACGCTACGACATTATTACCCAGGTTAACTAAACCTGTCAACCTAGCAGGTTAACCATCATATGACTTACCCCACAGGGTACAAATTCTCTTGTCTGGGGTGAACAGAGGCAATTTATGAACAAACTCACTTGCCTAGGGTGAGACCACGTGTGTCACGTGTGCTTCGTTGTAGGGCAGGACTGAAGTCCTAGAAACTCTCAGGAGTCTAACTGCCAAACATGATCTCAACCCAAGGACTCTCTCTGATCAACGTAGCACAACTTCAACTGATGTGTGACCTGTGCTCTATGCACAAGATCAGACACTATGAAGCATGCCACCAGTTTTCTAGTGATTTGAAATATGTTGATTTCTTTGAGACTTTCTTTGCATATTTTACTTCAAGTTACTTCTCCGAAATTAATCGATAATCGACAAGTCAAGCTCACAATTATTGCCCTCTATGACCTATATCGATTGACCTCGTCACTAGACAATAGGAACCAGACGGAACATAAATATGATATTATAGTAATACAGCCTATAAAAGTACATACCATAATAGGTATTATATACGAACATATAAACAGGGGAACAGAGGAACTATTACACCGGTCAGTTGATTTTAGACGTTTCTTTTCAGATTGAAAATATCTCAATTAATTGAGATTATATGAACAAAGTATACTGTACGGGCGCTTAGTCAACACTAAGTCTTTATGTTTTAAAAATAATTTTGATTTAAAATTTTAAAGTGAAAAATTAAACTTTCCTATTATTAACAAATTCTATTCGGTATATTTGATATCTTATCTTTCAAAAACAATAGTTTCCTATTTTACCCAAATATACAACATTTCAAACACGGTTTAGACGTATGTGGTTGAAAATGTATTTCATATCGCAGTATTATATTCATCTTTATATCTTCATTGAGCAAAGTAATTTTTATGCAAAGTTGCCCAATCACAAACTTCCAAACACGGCTAGGCTGGGATACCAGGACGACATGTATTTTTCACACAACTGCTTGTCTTCGTGGGTGGGTGAAGGGAGTTTCACAATATACCAGAAATGGTTAAGTATTGCCGCCATATAGCTAGAATATTGCTGAGTGCGGCGTAAAACAACAAACAAACAAAACCTATGTTATATTCATAAAGGAATAGCAATGGCATTGACATCGGGATTAATAAAACGCATCTGGCAGCAACAATGGTTAAGTTTCTTAAAGAGGTCGCTTTATCCAGGATGACCGGTGCCTTGATGTAATGTCAGAGATAAAATGTCACGTGTGTACGTTTGTCTGAATACCTTCTGGAAAGTTCTATCCCATATTGGAATGGTCCAGGAGGTTCCTGACTAGTGTTAACTAATCCAGATGTAACCAGCACACCACTGATCTTTGGTGAAACAATGTGGTACAATTACGAGACTGCTTTTGCAAAAACCCCGCCAAATGACACTTTATGATTCTGTTGCCATGGTTACCTTTCAGAGCATCCGCTACGACGCTAGGGTGTATGTATGGCTCAACTGACGTCTCCTGTGACGGGACCACCTCCAACACAGCGAAACGTGCGGTGTGGAGGGCAAAAGTGAAAGAACACTGCAGCGTATGTGCTGGTGAGTAACGAAATGCCCCATAAGATTCTAGCGTGTGTGACCCGTGAAGATCCGGGTTAGAATTCATCTTCAGTAACCCATGCTTGTGGTAAGAGGCGGCTAGAGGGATAGGGCAGTCAGGCTCGCTTGGTTGACACATGTTATCGTATCCCAATTGCGTAGATCGATGCTCACGCTGTTGATCACTGGATCCAGACTCGATTAATTACAGACCGCCGCCATATAGCTGTAATAATGCTGAGTGCGGCGTAAAAGTAAACTCACTCACTCAGTAGCTTGAGTGACCTAGTATGAGTTTACGCCACTAATAGCAACATCACGGTGGTGGAGGCCACGAAGGGGCTTCACACATAGGAACCATTCGGGGAATCGAATCGTTTGGGATTCAGGTGTCAGAGGGGCGGTGGGGTAGCCTAGTGGTTAAAGCGTTCACTCGTCACGCCGAAGGCCCGGGTTCGATCCCCACATGGGTACAATTTGTAAAGCCCATTTCTGGTGTCACCCGCCGTGATATTGCTGGAATGTTGCTAAAAAACGGCGTCAGTCAGTCAGGTGTCAGAAATGGCCTCAAGAGCCAACTCTTGTTTGACGTTGCTGATTGTGTGTAATCGTGATAACGATATTCATGCCATCGGCCACTGGTTGACTTGGTGCAGATTTGATTACTGACAGGCCCCGTGATACCACTGGAATATTGCTGCGGCCTTAGACGCAATACTCACCCATGCACCGGAAAACACAAGTATGAACGAACGCACATATGATTCAAATTCTAACGGCACTAATTGTTCTGTGGTTCTTGTTCTAGGAAGTTTCCTGAAATGCACACTGTCAACCCTGATCTTCGTGGTTCTGGGAGTTGCCCTGAAGGATTAGACAAAGGACACATCAAGCGGGGTGTGGCGCGAAGGGGAGAGCAGTTGGGTGGGGTTGGGTGTAGGGGAGCGGAGCGAGGTTGGGTGTAGGAGAGGAATGGGCTGGAGAGGGGTGGGGTGTAGGGGGCGGGGTGTAGGGGGAAAGGAGCCGAGTGTGGGGCGGAGCGTGATGTAGGGGAGAGGAGTGGGTAGGGGGTGCGGGGTGGGGTGTAGGGGAAAGGAGTGGGTGTAGGGGAGCGGGTGGGTAGGGAGAACGGTGTTGGATGTAGGGGGAGCGGGCGGGGTGTAGGGGAGGCGGGTGGGTATAGGGGAGCGGGTGGGGCGGATGTAGGGGGTGGGGTGTAGGGGGAGTGGGGAGCTGGGTGTAGGGGAGAGGGAGGGGTGGGGTGCAGGGAGTGGAGCTGGGTGTAGGGGGAGAGGGAGGGGTGGGGTGTAGGGGAGAGGTGGGGTGTAGGGGGACCTGAGGCGAGGGTGGGGTGTAGGGGGAGGGATAGTGGAGGTGGGGGTGTGGGGGAGCCGAGGCGAGGATGGGGTGTAGGGGAGGATAGGGGGTGGGGTGTAGGGGAGAGAAGGGGGTGGGGCGTAGGGGAGCGGGCGAGATGGGGTGTAGGAGGAGAGGAGGGAGAAAGGGTGGGGTGTACGGAGGAGACGGGTGGGGCGTAGGGGATAGGGGGTGGGGTGTAGGGGGGGCGGGTGGGGCGGATGTAGGGGGGACGGGTGTGGGGGAGTGGAGCAGGGGTGGGTAGGAGAGGGGAGTGGGGGGTGGGGTGTAGGAGGAGGCAGGTGGGTAGGGAGAAACAGGGTTGGATGTAGGGGGCAGGTGGGTATAGGGAGGCAGGCAGGGGCGGATGTAGGGGTGGGTGGGGCGTAGGGGGAGTGGGGGTGGGGTATGGGGGAGGCGGGCGAGGTGGGGTGTAGGGGAGGGTGGGGGGAGGGAGAGGGTGGGGTGTATGGGGGAGGGGTAGGGTGGAGGAGAGTAGAAGGGTGGGGTGTAGGGGAGGGAGACAGGTGGGGCGTAGGGGAGAGGGGTGGGGTGTAGGGGAACGGGCAGGGTGTATGGGGGGCGGAGTGGGGTGTAGGTGATCGGAGAGGAGCGTAAGGGATCGGGGCAGGGTGTGGTGTAAAGGTGAGGAGAGGGGAGGGGAGGGTTGTAGGGGATCGGAGTGGAGTGGAGTGTAGGGGAGCGGACTGGGATGGGGTGTAGAGGAGCAGAGTGTGATGGGGTGTAGAGTAGCGGAAAGGGGTGTGGTGTGGTGGAGGGAGGTGGATGGAGCAGAGGTAAGAGAAGAGGACAGGTTGAAGAAGTGTTTGGTTGGGTGGATGGAGTTGGATGGAGCGGAGAGGAGCCGAGGGAAGAGGAACAGAGTTTGCATTTGGCTTATTGATGTCACCAGTTTTTATGGGGTTTAGGAACTGCAAGAAGACTGCCGTCTTCAAACCGTGGTGTAATACATGATTCCATTATCCTGTAAAATGGTCTCGCCCTGGAAAAGACAAAGAATCGGATAGTCCTTAACATCTTTTGAGTAGCATATGAAGACAAACTCTTACTTGGAGAGCTGGGTGTATTTGTCCGACAACTATACTGTATATAAGGTGAACGACCAACTGTTAAATTGTTGCGACTTGTCTGTCAACATACATTGCATGGAATACCAGGTTAACAAAGAGTGGCGGATGTGTTTGGGCGAACTGATTCAAGATGGAGATCAATTTATTGTTTCTTGTCAAAGTTGCTCAATGTCTAACCAAAACCTTTTAAAACAGTCAGTTTGCTAAACTACAGTACGACGATCCTCGTCCCGCGCAATATGTCGCTAATACGTTACGAACATGCGTTCACATTTTGTTGATAAATCGTACGCCGTGCTTGCTTAGCATACTCTGAAATGTCTTTCGTGAAGTTGCTTTTTTGTGTTATAAAAACATCCGTGATACATTTTGGGTCTCTGTTTTGACCACATGTTTGCTATTGTTGTAGAAATTACAAAAAGTAACCAAAGTTTAAAAGTGTTTGTTTTTATTAAATCTGTATGTTAAGAGTTGCTGCAAATGGACAGGAAGAAGATGAAGCTAAAGATTAACATTACGGTGTACATGCGTGTACTAGTCCAGGTAAATTGACTGTCATAGATCCAGCTGAGTGGGACACCACGTGGCATTTATACATGTATACCCTACTCTGACACACATTATACTGACTACGAGCTGACCGGCCGTTTTATCACCTTATGCCGTGTGCCAGGCAGGTTAACATCAAGTACCATTTGTTAACCTTTTTTTCCAGATATGTGGCGGACATCGGTCCAGGGTATTTGTCAGAACAGAATAATATAAAGCACAAAATTATAAAAGTACATGTATTGACATTACAAAGCGAAAAATATTATCGGAAGCGCTAGTAAAAGCTCTGTAACCACATTGTCACACACACCATATACATGTAATTGCTCATCTACTTCAATACATGAAAATGGTGAAACAAGGTATGATAAAAATACAAACATATCCGTGTTGAATAATAATTTCTTTGCTTTTAAAAGTAAGCATATACTATGTGCGTTTTGAAAGAAATTTGGTTTATCAACAATAATAAATTACTGTAATATTACCGATGCAACGCTAAATGTTATTGTTGATTAAACAGAAAGTTATTACCAGGCGTTCATGTACTGCCTGTTTTCAATACTGGAATCATACCAGTGTTGTAAACATAGAACTGTAGGGGAAATGATAACAAGCATGTACACTGAATTTGGACAATAAAGGAGAATTTTGTTTTGATCCACAGTGACACAGCCGACAAATACATGTACACATGTTTCCATGGTAACAGACGCCGTTTCCGGCTTTCTGAATCAACTCATCTTAAGAACTTATAAGAGATGTAAACGTCTCCGGTTTATAATGGCGACGTTCAAGCTACCTGAATGAACTTTCAGGGATTTTGCGAAACACCTCTTTAAATGATCGTTGACGTAACTGCACTTCTTTCGAAAAAGTTCGACCTCATGAAACATAGATATTTATTCAAAGCAGCAATTTGAAAGGTCGAATTTGGCAACTAAGCCATTTAGAACCGGAATGGTAATACGAAAATTAATTTTGGAAACCTTGGAAACATAAACCTAGGTTTTGTTTTTAAATCCGATAAAATCATCGATGACGACAGTCTGCCTTGACCAGACAATCAACTGACATCTTGAGCATCGATCTACGAAATTGGGACACGATGACATGCGTCAACCGTGTCAGCGACCCTAACCACCCGATCCCGTTAGTCGACAAGCATGGGACAAAGCACTAGTGAATGGTTTGGAACTCTATTACCATTTGAAACTTCTTACGTATTACGCATCAGTGTGGGGATTTAAAAAAAATCTAAATTTCATTACTACTTCTTATCTATTGGTTGTGCAGGCGAGACTTTCACTTTCTGGGACACGCCGAACCGGAAGTCACATTTGCCCGTAACCGGCCAAGTGACCTTGCCATGTTTTATCTCAACATCCTTGGGTACAGACGATGCAGTTCCTGCTCGACGATCTTCAAGGATAGTTGCGACATCTCCATCAATCGTCATGGCAACAGATGTCATGCCCTTGGTACCTTTGATAACTGCAGTTATCCGCCCTTTGATAGTGACCTTGACCTCGAATGTCCAGCTGGAAGCTTGTTCCTCAATCTCAAGCTCTGCCAGAGTGACTGATTTCGGTTCTGACGTCACTGTTGTATCTGTGGCCCACGTCATTGACTTTGCGATGGTATGCTCCTCGGCAGTTTCAACAGTGTAGTTGAGACCAAACCCAATCGTTGCCTTGGCGACGTCAGCGGGTAGGGACAACTCCAGCCCAAAGCTTCCTTCCTTAGCGAACCCTTTCGTAATGGTTGTTGTAATGGTAGCGTTCGTCGTCTTCTCAGCTCTGTAAAAGAGTGGGTGAGTGAGTGAGTGGATAGGTCAGTGCGTTGGTGATTGACTTAGTCTGTTTCACAGTCCCTGAACCACATTATTTTCCATATTGCCTAACCCTCACTGCAATGCTAAAGCTCTAAATGAAGCAAGTCTAGATTTCCTCAGGTTCTGGATCTCTGGTCTCCCTGGGGTTCCTTTTTACTTTATATGGGTTTGTTTGTTACTATCAAAATTATATATATTCAGAGACAAAACGTTAGTCTAGTGATTGACTTTGCGCGTGCTTAAGAGTGAGTGAGAACAACGTCGCTTTTTCACGTGACGTCAACGTAACGCGGGATCTAAGCCTGAGATGGTTAAAGTCTTTGATGTTCATCACTACAACATGCATGGTTCTGACATGCAGAACTTTCTAATGCAACAACAATTATGCATGTATGTACACACATTGTGCTGGCCTCTATAAACAAGGTGCATGCAACAACATTATTACCATTATTAAACCCTGGACAATGGATCAGCATGTACTCCTTTCAGCTTTTTGGAAAGTATACAACTCAAGCTGACTTGGGTGAAAGGTATATGTTACATTATTATCTCATCCTACTAACTAACAATTGTTACGGCTGGGTACTCGAACCTGTATTTCAACAAAGTCCGTCGCCTGAGGAGGACATCGACTATGTGTTACATGTGCATCCGTGTGGAGCAGAACCACAAACCTAAAAACTCTCAGAAGTCGTGCTGGCCAACACGGTCACCCATGCTTCTACTCCCTGCCGCCGACACTACTTCACCTACTGACCTGGGGCGATGGGGTAGCCTAATGGTTAAAGCGTTCGCTCGTCACGCCGAAGGCACGGGTTCGATTCCCCACATGGATACAATGTGTGAAGCCCATTTCTAGTGTCCCCGCCGTGATATTGCTGGAAAATTGCTGAAAGCGGCGTAAAACCACACTCACTCACTCACCTAATGACCTGTGCACGGGACCTTGCACCTACACATTACGGCCCATAATGAATACCCGCAATTGCACCCACAGTCTTTTCCCAACTGTTACCTGAAGGCATGCGTCTGTGCGACTGCAGTATCGTTCTGATACCGTGATGTGAAGACTACCTGGGTCTCGGTCGAGGGAACGCCCGCGCTGGTCCCGGGGATCGGAGTCTCCAGTTGTGTGTATACAGGCTTGTCTGACTTGCACTTGACATGATCCCAGACAAGCTGTATCTGAGCTTCTCGAAATTTGAGTTTCTTCCCCTTTGCACTTCTCAGGTAGTTTTCCCAAGCCCAGGATTTGAACAACGTCTCCAGATCCGTCACCGCTCCGCCGGCCTTCCCTTGTACCTGGATCAATGTGTTAGTGAGTATTATAGCAGTGTTACGGTAATATTATGGTCGGCAATGGTGCACGACCGTGGGGATTAAACACCATGTTATGAGTGAGTGAGTGAATGAGGTTTATGTCTCGGGAACACAGAGATATATAAAATACGTTGAGGTTCGTCACGAATCATGGATTTCACTGAAGGGCGAATGGTGATACTGTACCGATGGTACGTTATTTTCAGAAATTTAGAAATTCCCAGGGGCGTGTCGTGCTTAAAAGACGTATATAGTCTCTATAGGTATATATAGTCTATATACCTACTATATATTGTATACTATATATACGCTGTTTTTAAGCACGACACGACCCTGTGGTGGGTACATTCTGTACTGTGAATAACTTGTCTGGCCTTGTTGGTAGGTGCAAGACTGGAGAAATACCCGGAACAGACAGTACGTCAGGTACCCATCCGCAGACGTGTGCTATATTTAGAATTGTGCTATTTTAGACAACTTGTGGATTGCTCTACAACAGGCTGATGTGAGTGAGTGAGTGAGTTTAGTTTTACGCCGCACTCAGCAATATTCCAGCTATATGGCGGCGGTCTGTAAATAATCGAGTCTGGACCAGAGATTCCAGTGATCAACAGCATGAGCATCGATCTACGCATTTGGGAACCGATGACATGTCAACAAAGTCAGCGAGCCTGACCACCGTCGCATTTCACGACAAGCATGATTTACTGAAGATCAATTCTATTATAATCCCGGATCTTCACGTGTCCAACAGGCTGTTGCCCTCTTCAGTTACGCCGAGAACAGTGTGGAAAGATCTAGTATGTTTCCTTATATACATAAGGGGACTAACTTGCCTCGTATCTTTCAAGGAGCAAATTTATCAGCATTTTGTGTGATCAATCTTCACTCTGGGATTTCTGTGTAAACCTGTAGTTTCTTGCTGGTTGGATTAATGTTGCTGAGAGGTAAATATGGCCATTACTGTCTATATTGCGATAATCACTGCTTCTGTATTATGTTATATTTGAATTGTTATTGCCACTCTATTTTGTACTACCATAGTGACGCCCTTGTATTGATTTGTGAGCTTCGTCAAGTTTGGAATATAATCGTTAATTACAGCATATGTCTGAGTGAGTGAGTGAGTGAGTGAGTGCGTGCGTGCGTGCGTGCGTGCGTGAGTGAGTGAGTGAGTGAGTGAGTCCTGTTTTATATGCTTCAAGAAGGAGACGGGTGGTGCGGTACGCAAACGTGAAGCCCATGTTATAAATGACTATCCCTAAACTGCCTAAACACCAGTTACATCTGGGTCCGGGGCGGTGGGGTAGCCTAGTGGTTAACGTGTTGGCTCGTCACGCCGAAGACCCGGGTTCGAATCCCCACATGGGTACAATGTGTGAAGCCCATTTCTGGTGTCCCTCGCCGTGATGTTGCTGGAATATTGCTAAAAGCGGCGTAAAACCAAACCTCAGTCAGTCAGTCAGTCAGTACATCTGGGTCCACTTACCCCTGTCGACATAGGGATATAGAGGTAGTTTTCTTCAACAGCACCGGTACTACGGCACGTACCCATTCTGAAAGTAAACATAATACAGTTAGGCAGCTTAATTAATAATGTTTCTAAACTGAGGAAGAGTAGTATAGAGGCCTTTATGGCGTCAAAATCTATTTTTAGCTATGGGGCTTTATAGGGTCAAAATCTATTGTTAGACTTCACATAGTCTATTTTTTAGATGATGAGTCACTGCTCTCTATTGTATATTGAGATCTATGGTGTGAACATCTGGTGTGTCTATTTTTAGATGATGAGTCTTTGTCTCAGGTCTATGTTGAGATCTATTGTGAGCACACTTAATGTGTCTATTTTTAGACTCGGGTGGGTATATAAAGTCCACCAAACGGCCCCATGTCATACTCAGTCTCTGAAGTCATTAGTGGATATACATTCAAGTGATTTCACACATTGTGGATATACCAGAGTGCATTTCTCATTGGATTATACTGTGTGCACTGGATTACTAAACAACCTTGGATTATACTGTCTACTGGATATATATTTTCATCAGCCTCTCAACTATACATCAACAGAACATCAAGGTAAGTTACCCTTCACATTTGTGGAAACAACATCAGAATAGGGAATTGAAGCAACTTACCTCATGTGATCCATAGGAAATCCTCAGCACACATACGTCCATGAGCACATATGTCCATGAACAGCACAATTTCACTTAGAATAGTTCCATGAACAGATCGATTCACGCACATATCAATTGTATCCACACATATTTCCATGAATACACATATGCAGTCCAGCAGGTATGTCCAATATTGAGAATATATTCAACATCCTTGTTCCAAGCATGTCTGGATGTTTAGAGGGGTTGGGACAAGTAACCCATTCATGTGAAGAAACAGATTGATTCATACTGTACTCCAACAATGAATGACTCATTTGCCCACCCTTGGGCACCTTTATTTACACAAACACATATATGAACAAAAGTTAACAATATATACACAAAGATAACAAATTAAACATAATACAAAACTAACACTAACTAACACTACAAAAACCTAATATTCTCTAATAATTATCTCTAAAATGTCCAATAAGGACTCTTCATGTTGAAGAGCGCATATTCGATTTTCCACCTCCCTCTTCTCCACTCTATATGTGCCTGGATGACTTCTGTTAGACTGAAAAAAAATAAGGAACAAAATAAGATAAAAATCCTGTATATGATAATAATACATTTACTTCAGATAGTAATAACTTCAATGTATCTAATATACACTTACGAGGAGGAGGTGGGGGAGGATGCCCCCTCAGTGGTGGTGTCACTGATGTTGGTGGCATCACTGGCAACAGATAGGGTAGAAGGCATTTCCACCCCTGTGATGACACAGTCATCATCACTGAAAAATGAGAACAATATACCTAAATTAACACAAAATGGTTGAAGGTCATAATCACACACACACACACACACACAAACTTTTGTGTGATTTATGTTAATTCTTTTACATCATGTATTACATACATTAGTATTAAATCATTTTCAAATTAATATTACTTACTCCACAGAGGTGCTCATGCCCTCAACAGCTTCCAACAGAAGGCTGTCATCAATATCACTGAAAGAGC